AGTAGTGCAGACATCCGTCCACTTAACATGGATGATTTTAAGTATGCACATGAACAGGTACACAATTGCACGTATTGTGGTTGTTAATCTGATTTTTGTGCCATGCATTCTACTTTCTCTGCAAGAGTATTTGGGGTTCAGGAGAAATGTTAGTAGGCTTTATTTACTGCCAAGAAAACTTTGGGACTTTCTCATGGTTCTTTCCGATATCACACTGTTGCAGATTTTCTACTAAAATTCTCTTTCGAAAATAAACAACTAATCCGCCTTAGGTACTCTTTCTAGATCGAATTTCTAGTTTATAGCTCGTACCCAGGCACAGAATCCACTTGCCAACTGATCTGAGTTTGAATTGTTGAACTAACGATCTAAAGTAAGGAGGCAGTTCCAGGAAGGTAGCTCTTTGATCTAGTTCATTCAATGAGACTGGGGCTCCAAATCCACATCCACTTCACAACAAAGTAAGAGAATGTGGGGATCATAGAGAGGAAGGAATGGAACAGCTCTCATAACGTCAGATATATCTGTACTCAAGTGATTAGTTTTTATTTATTTATATATTCGATGGTGCGAGATACAGATTTGGGATTTGAGATCCGTTGTCGTAAAATAATGGGTAAATCGTGTTGACTGGTTTTTGAACTACTTCACAGCAGCATGCAGAAGACATGAGAGATCGACATTTACTTCACAACAAAGAAAGAGAATGTGGGGATCGTAGAGGAAGGAATTGAACATCTCTCGTAACGTCAGATATATATGTACTCAAGTGATTAGTTTTTATTATTTATATATTCGATGGTGTGAGATACAGATTTGGGATTTGAGAGCCGTCGTCATAATCACATTGACTGGTTGAACCGTTGAATGTTGTCGGTCTCTCATGTATTCTACATGCTACTGTGAAGTAGTTCAAAAAGGAATTTTGTTCATGTGATTGCACAAGAGACCACCACCACATCTTTTGGTTTCGATCAGCTAGTCTATAAATGTAGCTTGAAAGATCAATAGCTCCTCAAACTGATGTAATCCTCTCTTAAAGAGCGGCTTCTTTCCTCACTGTTTCATGGATTGCAAGTCAAATGATTCTCTATTTACACTAGCATCTCCTAGTCAGCCATTAGTATAGGTACTTGTACCTTCACTGGCTGGCCTTTGCGTTTAAGCCACCAAACTTCAATCTGACGATAAAAAATAGTCTCAAATTCCACTAGTCCTCTCTTTTAAACTGATATACACAGTGGTTTTTTTAATTTTACGGAGCCTAATTGTATGTGGTGAGCGTCTTAGTTCATAAGCTAATTCCTTTGGCCCCTATACAGAATACTCCATCTCCACGGCAGTGCAATGCCTGCTACTAATGTGGATAAGAGCGTGATTAGGTAGGAGGATATCCACTGGGTAAAGCCACTGTTGGGGGGTCCGAGGAACTTGGGTACTTAGTCTTGTAAGCTCAAATTCCAGTCTTTAGGCAGCTGATCTTGTTTGGTGCCTCATTTCGGTAAATTCTAGTGGGTCCACTTACATAAATATATGCTGTCTCTTATCCTTGTTGTTATAGGTTGCACACTCCAGAAGACCCTGTATCTGTAATGAAGAAGGAAAGTTGAGTTCATGCGATCGGATGACCATCACAATTGTCGCCTCCATATATAGCAGCTATTTTTTTAAGATGGAACAGATAGCAGCTAAATTAATAACCTCAATCTAAATATCATGTTCTTCTTGAATGCCTTGCCGCATAAGCGATGTTGATATCATAGTCTTATTGAGAGCTTTTGTATTTGACCTACCTGGATGACCAACCAGGAATCTTTGATGGTTTTGCACCAATTTGTGGAAATGAAATTGTTTCTTGTTAGTGTGGGAAAAAATGTTCAAGTACTACTACTTTCTTGGGCCCTTGTGTGTTTTCTAACTTTATCATCACTGTGGAGAATAGTTTGGTATAGTGTGTTACCTGTGTATGCATAGTTGATTCATGACTTGTTTATGTGTCAATGAATGCAGGTATGTGCTAGTGTATCCCCAGAATCTTCAAACATGAATGAGCTTCTCCAGTGGAATGAATTATATGGAGAAGGTGGATCAAGGAAGAAAACATCTCTCAGCTACTTCATGTAGAGGAAATATGTAACTATATACCATTGGTTTATTTATTTTCCTGTTCTGCAACCCGAGATGGCAGCGGGACCTACATGGATAGTCCATTTCAGGTTCCCCTCAGGCCCTTGTGTATCATATTAGTTCATAGGATTTTATCTTAGCAATTGCTAGTCTTAATGAGTCTCAAATCTTGTCTCATCCAATTTTCTCCGTTGTAGGTCTCCTCTTGTATATACGAGTTGACTAATTTAATAACCGTAGTCTAATATTCTTTTTCTGTATTGACTATTGTATAGTTTGAATTCTTATGATGAAGCGGGCAAACTTGTTGGGGGTTAACTGGAGGAGTAAATACAGACTATTTTATTGGCCTCCATATGTCTGTTATGTTAAATATTTTTATTTACTTTGGATAATATTTTGGCTTTGTTGAGCACTTCCACCACCTCAATAACTGGCCTCTCTCACGCGGTTAACTGCAAATGCTTTCATCTGTGAATTGTGGTCAAGTCTTGGCACAAGGTCATCGACATCCATGGACTAAAGCTAGTGCTAAAGTGATTGATACTGAAGTTAATTTGTGTTTGTATTACTGGGACGACTATTTAGGAGCCTGTGTGAAACCCTCTCCTATTAAATGTTACGTGGGATTTTGCTATGGTTCCCCATTCATTCCCAGTTGGTCATTATTTCTCCTCAGGGTGGTTGCCATGACCATAAATTTCATAACTGATACCGACTGTCACAGTCAAACTGACATTGTCTAGCTGGATTTGTGTGGATTCATATTTCTGTATCAGTATCAGCTATCTCTCTGCTTTGACCACTTAGACCTTAAGCTACGCTTTTTTAATGCTGTTTTTATTATACTTTTTTGTTATATTTGTGTAGCTTTCTCTCTTCCTTTCTTTAATTTCACTGTTGACAATTGCAATTCTACTTAAAATTTCCAAGATCATCAGTTTGTATCTAATACTGTGTATAAAGTCACGATTGTCTTTTTTTTTTTTTGGGTTCGTTGAGATACTGTGTTTAGTAGGAAGGAATTATGTTTCTAGAAAAGGTTTTTCTCGAGGAAATATTTTTAAGTTGTTAAATTGTATGATCAACTTCAAGGGAAAGTATTCTCCATTTTCTAAAGTGTATAGTTTCTTTGATGCCAAGTTCGCTAATTATACATAAGATGTTATTCAATAAAACTAGCAGCAATCCTGTTGGGTGCATCAAATATGTCAACGCAAAACAGATGAACAAAGATCTCAACGATCATGGCGGAGTTAAAACGGAAATTATAAACTGTATCGGAAACTAAGTAAACAATGAGGAAAGTAAAGGAAAAGAACAAAACCTCGCAAACTAAAATGGTTCAATGCGGTCGATGAAGAAGACTAAAGTCGAGTCTGAAATTTGGCCTTTATGCCAAGCTGAAAAGGTAAATTGAGGAAGAGAAAAGATCAAGTGATTTAGCAGTGAGCAAGAGGACCTCTAGCTTGCAACTTGTGATACTTGTATAGTTGTAATTGTTGTATTTTAGCCACCTGACTTTTCCCAACTCCCAAGGGCTTTTAGGTTGATATTTCTTATGAAGTAGAATACCTCTTGGGATTGCACAAATAACCGTGCATATTTACTATTTACTTTTTATAGTCATTATACATAGATTGTATATTGATTATACATAATTATATATAAATTTTATATATATTATACATCTGTCGGTTATTTTTAGTTTAAGAAATTAGGTAGACTACTATTTCAGTTAATTTTTTATATTTCTATTGTGAAGTAATGGCATGACGGTTAATCTTTTTGGGATAAAAAGAAATTACCAGAGTTTGTGTCTACTTCCTTCCCGTAGGTCATAATTTTAGAGTTGTTTGACCAAGTTTTTGGCAAGCTAAAAATACTTGTTTGTGATCAATAATAATTGCGGTGGAATGATAAGTATCTTTTATCCATTACTAGAATTTCGGGTTCGCCCTAAGTATGAAATTGTCTTTGTTAGATTGCGCTTTATCGGAATATGAAACTTTTCGGTGCGTAATTGCATTTAGTTGGATGCCAATACAAATACTGGACATTAGATGAATTACAAACAAGAACATACTTTTTTGGAAAAATTAAATTTTTGGTTCTTTTGCCAACAAAAAAGTATTTTTGAACCGTAATTATTTTATCGTTGAAAAAACGTTAGAAGCATAAGTAAAAAATTTATTCTTTAAAATAAAAAATATTGTTATCAATAACTTTCATTTACAAAAGTACCTCTTGTTCATTTCAATAAGAAAATCAACCATTAAAACTTTGTCTCTTCCTCTTTCATTGTATGCGGTTTTTTCATCATCTCTTCAACTCTTTCTTTGTGCTAGTCATATCAAATCTAAAATAAAAGATGAAATATATTAATTAAATAAAATCGGAAAACTTAATCAAAATCTCTAACAATAAATAACTAAAAATTATTTTCTAAGATAATATTAAGCAAATGGGTACATCTCCTTCCTAATGTGACTCTTAATAATACCTTTTTGAAAATTTGGTTAAACACAACCACAAAATCTGCCTGTAATAAAGGGGTTGACCAATCGAAATATTTCCACAAAGTTCTACAGTTTTATTAGGAATACTAAATAATTTTAGGATTAAGACGTAGTTAATTAAATGATTGATTGGTATATAGATCCCGTTTGGATGGGCTTATTTTAAGTAACTTTTAAGCCAAAATAGTTTTTAAGCCATAAGTTAGTATTTCTAGCTTTTGGCTTTTGGCTTATTTTTGCCATTTTAGCTTAAAAACAAGTGTTTAAAAGTACTTTTTTTACTTTATCTAAACATTACAAAATGGCTTAAAAGTTATTTTGGCTTAAAAGCACTTAAAATAAGCCAATCCGGGCTCACAATGGTGTTCGTATGTTTTCTCTTTCTTCATTGAAAAAACTGAAACTGCGGGGGTGATTTGGAGGGGCGCAAGTTAGCAAAGATGGGGATGATTTCTCATTCATCTACTTTCCTCCTCCCAAATCTTCCTACCGACAACGGACCTGATCTAACGTACGCCCTTGTTATCCTTAACCAACGCCTCCCTCGATTCACTCCTTTGCTCTGGGAGCACGGTAATGGCCCCTGCGCCTTCCATTTTTCAACCTTTTTTGAAGTTCTCTCTATGGCCTTGTAATTTCCCTGAAAATGGTGGCATATGTTTGTTGTTTAGAGCAGCACAGGTTCATGTTTGCGCTGACGGTGGAGCGAATAGGGTGTTTGATGAATTGCCTCGCTTTTTTCCTCATGACGACCCTTCTGATATTCGTAAGAGGTGATTCTGAATTCATTTACCAATTGCTCTTGTTACTGATTATACGTAGCAGCTTGTTGCTGGTTCATTCTTCAATCTCTAAACTTGTTTGCAAATTGGCAAAATAATAAGGAATAAAACCACAGGAGGCAGGATTTCAATCTCGATTCTAATAGTTTTAAGTTATTGGGTTCTAAATTAATAATTTATACATATTAAATAAATTTTTTATGAAAAATACAGGGTTCGAACCAAAGCTATGGGTTTGGCCTAACCCTTTTCCGACACTGTAGCTCCGCCCCGAATAAAACAAGGATTTTTATAGGTCGAATTATTTACTTTTATCCACCATTTCGAGAAAAGAAAAATCTACTATTTAAAAAAATAGTATATATTAGTAACTTTGAACTCTGTGAACTTGTTTAGGTTTGCTACACTGTACACGCCCCTCACGTGGGCCTTGGTGTTTTTTTTCTTGGACCAGAATGTGCAAAAGGAAACTAAAACTTGGATTTTTGCTTGAGGAAAGAATGAGTTATAAGTTACTTTTTGAAAATTTTCATGCCATATTAGTAGTACAAACATAGGACAAATAGTGAGATTCGAGTTTGAGCTTTAAGTGAGTAAAAACACATGCAGACAATATGTAAAAGCATCGGGATTTCTCTTTTTCTTTTTTGGGCTAAAACACGATTTCTTAATATTTGGAAATTTTTATTTTGTCCTCTTAGATTGAATTTGAGTGAACCATAATTTTTTTGCAGGTACAAGCCACATGCTATAAAAGGAGATATGGATTCAATCAGAACCGATGTTCTTGACTTTTATAGAGGCCTGGTAAGCTAGAGTTTGCTTGTGATGGTTCTTTAGTTTCTTAGCAAATCTGTTTTCCAATAAATTTTAAAAGCATCCACATTTTTATATTTGTGTAGGGATAAGTGTAAGAGAACATCTAGTTTTGGAGAATAACTAATTTGCCTTAAAAGACAGAATATTTAGTGTTGAAATGAAATGGAACCTGAATGGTGCGGCAGAATAGATACATTGTATTGATGTAGGCGATCTCAATTAATTTGGATTGAGGCAGTCCTGATTGATATATATTTACAAGTCTCCCTTATTAGTATGATTTATCCTACTTTGAATTGAATCATCACTTCGTGTTAAATGCCGACCTCCAGGGACGTCAACCTTCAAAAGGATTTGGTGTTTGACCTTACCGAAAGAATCTGGTGTTTGAACCCTTGGCCTTACAGAACCTTTGTGGTGGATCTTATTTGATATGCAATGGAGTGGAGCTCCATGTGACAGTTTACTAGTGTATGATGTGTTAAGAGCTTCCCTGTCTTTCACCTTATCCGAGAGTGAGAAATTTGTTTACAGTACAGTTGAGCTGTGCAAATATATTCTTAAGTCTGACAGAGAGGCCCACTTTGTTAAAACCTTGTTGTTGAGTTCAAGTTTTTGCCCTGTGTACGAGCAGTTACCACACTTCTATTTTACTAGTTTTTGTGTAAAGATCAAGAGAATAATATCTGGTCTTGTTTAAATTCTTTCTAATGTAGTATGTAATTATACTTGTGCATTTTTTCATTTTTAAGCATGTTAGTGAGGATTCTTAGCTACCTGACTACATGTGTATGTCATTTCAGTTACTAGATAGTTATTACACTTTTGGATATAATTAGCAATGTGGCTCAAGATCATTTTTTGCCGTCTTGTTCTTGTGCAATATGTTTCTGCAGTTCATTACAAAGCATGTTTAGAACCATATTTGAGGATGTATAACTTGGTGACTTTGCAGGGGACCAAGATAATTGATGAATCTCATGATCAAGATACTACAGATCTTCATAAATGTGTTGCATATATTCGTGAATTACTAAACCCGGAACATCCAAATGTAAGTTAAGCTTTTTAACATAGCTCTGGATATTTTTACCCTTTTCCCATGTTTATCAATATGCTATGTTCTAGTTTCTATCCATTAAAAACATCTGTACACTAAATAGTTGCTCAAACTGTATCTGCATCTTTTCGTTGTGGGATATTTGTGCTCTAATTGTTTCTTAGTTATGATTATTGCTAATAATAGGATATTATTAGTTTAGAATAGATATTTGAAATAAACAATTCATTAGAAAATCTTTCACATGGTGGATCAGATGTATTGCTTATTCGTCATTATTCAATTTAAGGTGATATAAGCGTCATTTGTTGCTTCTTTTACTCATTCCTTAGAAATAAAATTGAAACTAGTTACCGGGGACACCATTACATGCACTATCTTCAAGAAAGTGAGGATAAAAAGTGGCAAGGTGACGTAATCATCAATAAATACAATAACCCTTTTAACCTCTTCCCTGTTCTCACTAGTAGGGTATGTTGTAAGGTTATTATGGAAAAAATGTTATATGCCTTATCATATATAGTGGAAGTTTTCTACTTGTAAGCATGATCGGTCCAAGTTCTATTACTTTTGCTTAAAAAATATAGTATAAAGTGGTATTAGAAGGAACAATATATTTGTTATTGTCTTTTTATTATTACCATTATTATTATTTTGAGTGGATCTACTGACATTAGAGAAAAGCCACTACTATAAAGATCACAAATCTGATGCAATATTACAACTCTAACATAGTAAGATGAAAATTACAAGCACACACAGGGAGAACCAAAATAGAATTTAGCATACTCTCAGAGCAATTAGAAGAATATAGGACCCCATTACTGGAAAGAATGCCCTAATGTAGTTTCAGTGGGATTGACTTGTATCTCTGTGTAATTACAGTTGTGTATTCTAGCCACCGGAGCACTTGGTGGAAGGTTTGACCATGAGATGGGAAATATTAATGTCATATGCCGTTTCCCGTCCATGCCGATTATTCTTCTCTCTGATGATTGCCTCATCCAACTTCTTCCAAGTACACATCATCACAAGATTCATATCCAGTCCTCTGTTGAGGGCCCACATTGCGGACTCATACCCATTGGAACGGCTGCTGGAAGAACCACAACCACAGGTCTCAAATGGAATTTGGGTGAGTAGCTCCATCTACTTTTTCCTTTTTAACTTTTAATAGACTCAACCTGCCTCAATTTGTTATGGGCTGATGATTTATGTGCTGCATATTTCTATTTGCTGTTGGTTCAACACAAGAAGGATAAATTTCTGTCCAGATAGCCTATGCTAACATTTTAGTTGATGCCATCGTACTGGTGGTTATCTACTTTTCCTACTAGACTGATTTACATTCACTTGACTTCTATTCAGACAAGACAGAAATGAGATTTGGTGGTTTAGTCAGTACATCTAATATCGTGAAAGAGAACATAGTAACAGTGCAATCTGAATCTGACCTCCTATGGACGATTTCTATCAAAAAAGAATGAAGGATGCAGCTTGCAGATGATACAAATGGAAGAGCTAAATTTTGCTGGACGAATAGTTGGTGTTGACCTCCATTTTCTGTTCAATTCTTTCCAGATAAAAAAGTTTCACAGAGTTTGAGAATTGTTGGGGTTCTTTTTTTGTTTTTTTGGGGGCACACAACAGATTTCTTTGGCGTCAAGTGCCTGCTTGCAGTAGTCTTGGGGGAAAAAACAACACGGGTCTTATGGAGTGGTGAATCCAGAATTTAAACTTTATAGGTCCAACCTTTAAGGTTTTTATCATTGAATTCATTGTATTTTAAAGTTATGAGTTCAGAGCTACTGTTTATTGCAATTTTATTAGGTTTTTACATATAAATTTATGTTTCGTGTCGAAAGTACTGGGTTTAGTTGAACCCGGTACTAATATGTTGCATCGACCTCTTGTCTTATGAGTATAGCGGGTTAACATTGATTATCAACTTCTGTTTATGTGCTTTGATTCATTAAACGCATTTGGTCCAGCGGTTCTTCAATATTTGTATACACGAATCTTTTACCATTATAATGAAACATGGAGAAGTATACTTTTAATTTCGCGTGATACACTAACTGACTAACATGTCTACAGTTGGTAAATACGGAAGATTGCAATATAAATGAGAGAAAGGGTTCTCTCGTTCAATTGCAGAATGGCTACGACAAACTTGCCTCACCAATTGGTCGTAGAAGGGGATCTTTTGAAATTTGTTCCTAATGGTGTTTACTTATCCGCCACCCACAAATCAGTATGCTTAAGAGGAGCTACTAAATATGTGCTACTAAAAATTTAGAATGACTAGAAGGCAGCGGAAGCAGAATTTTCACCAAGGAAATATAAAAAATAAAATTAAAAAACGCGCAAAGAAGTTGAAGGGATTTAACATTTAATATATATATAGATGAAAAAATATTTATCTTATATATACAGTGTAATTTTCGCCCCGACTAGAAGATAGTACGTTTTAAAAATGTAATGGTGAAGAATCATGTTCGAATCTGATTTCGCGAAAGGTCGAGGGATTATTGCATTGGCAGAGTGTCAGCTCGCGTCTCTCTTTAANATATATATATATATATAAGCTGAATTGCTATGTAGTTTTTCTTCTGGAAATAAATTTGAATTAGTTGTTTTAGACTGTAGAAGTTTTTCATGTTTTAAGTAATTCTTTTCTTGATGGACTTGATATAACTAAAAACCTCTAATTAAAAATAACATTAAATTCAAAATACATTCACTAATAATATATTAGTATTATTAATAGTATTTAATATGTATATTATTTTTCATGTTTTTCATCTTTTATTTTTGACCTTTGTGTGTGTCTTTGGCAGAAATTTCACATGCCTCAAAATATATGAATACAAATAAACTTGGCATATTGAATTAGAGAAGCAAAACTTTAAAATATTGACGATTTTTATTCTTTTATGATCGTGCGAAACGCAAGAAAATTAACTACTGTATTTAATATACAAAAAAACACGTCTATGTTCGTGAATAAACTTTTTTCCGATTGAGACCAGTACAATTTCTTTTGGAAACTCCAAAGTCGAAATAATATAGAGTAATGAATAGTAATCAACTATTTGTGCAACAATCTTCTCATATAAAGATGATAATAACAGTTGATATCCCGATTCAGTAGAGGAATGAACAATGAAAAAGAAAAAGGATTATTTTTTCCAAGATGATAATAACAGTTGATATCCCGATTCAGTAGAGGAATGAACAATGAAAAAGAAAAAGGATTATTTTTTCCAAGATGATAATAACAGTTGATATCCCGATTCAGTAGAGGAATGAACAATGAAAAAGAAAAAGGATTATTTTTTCCAACTTTCAGTTCCAAGTTAAAAATTCAACTAATATATTATGGCGTCGCCCGGACTCGAACCGGAGACCTTCAGTGTGTTAGACTGACGTGATAACCAACTACACCACGACACCGCTGCGTCATCTCACTTCGATGATTTTATATCTCGCAAAGATTCTCTTTTGGCGGCAAATAAGTGATTTTCTGAACAGTAATCAAATTGAAACCGTAGGGTTTTGTTGTTTGGTTTGATTTCTGGATTGAAGCTCCACTGATCACTACTCAATAATCAGTTTAAAGCTTAGAAAATTGCAGATATGCATCCGTAAGTTCTCAGCATGAAGTAGATTTGATACCTTACAGGTACCGGCATTGCCCTGTAATTGAGCGCCATTGAAATGGACGGAGGACCAGCAACTTCACCGTTGACTATAAAGCCCATAAACAAGGGCGTCGTGCATAGAATTTGTGCTGGTCAAGTTATTCTGGACCTTTCCTCCGCCGTCAAGGAGTTGGTTGAGAACAGCTTGGACGCCGGTGCCACCAGCATCGAGGTTTCGCTCAAAGACTATGGCGCTGAATCCTTCCAGGTTATCGACAACGGTTGTGGCATCTCGCCTAACAATTTCAAGGTCTCTTTTTGCTGTTCTATTTTCTGCTCTTGTCCTAAGTTTTTGTCACACTCTCTCTTCCATTTGCTTGTTATTTGTGAATAAGCCAGTAAAATTGTGTTTTCGGTGTCTCTGTGTGTGTGTGAGAGAGAGAGAGTGTGTGTATTATGTATACAGAGACACACACACTTATGCCTGTATATGTGTATGCGTGTTTGTGTGTAGGCTTTCTTCATACTACTCTCTATTTTCAATCAAGGTTGTGTCAATGTGTGTGTGTCTTTATGTATGTGTCATGTATGTGTTTTATGTGTCACTATGTACATGCAGAGGCGGGTCTAAGATTTTTATAACATAGGTGCACCACTAAAAAAAGGGAAAAATAAAAGTATTAAGTGGGAATTGATACCTATTACTCTAGGTAAATAACTTAGCATTCAACCAAGTGCACCATTTAGCCTTTTTGGAGCATGGGTGCCAGCAAGTAATATCTGATCAATTCTAAAAAATATGTACATAAAATACCTAGTTTGACGGAAAGACCATGGGTCTCTAAGCCCGCATTCTTCCTAGCAACCGAGTCGATGTCAAAGAACCTGAGCGAGGGCCTTCTCTGTGCATTCATGTGCAGCTAGGAGAGTTGCAGGACTAACTAAATTTCCAAAGCTATAAGTGTTTTTCATTAAACAGGCATAATAGTCTTCAACTGCACAAAAGTTGTGCGGAGAACTAGTAAGAATTGTGTCTGCCATCCAATTCTTGACGCATGGCGAGATTACTCTACCACTCCATAAATGGAGGCTCGATATCTTTCCTAGGCTGAGGAGCGTAGTCAGAGGTCTTTGGTGCCTGAATGCTTGACGTGTCCCATACACTGGGCTATAGATCCGCCCGTGTATATGTGTATGCCAAAGTGTGTATATATATATGTGTGGTGTTTCTTTATGTATCACCTGTAAACTTTCTCTATGCTAATCTCTATTTTCAATCATGGTTGTCTCTTGTCCGCTGTAGCTCCCTTGCTGCTGGTTTTCACTGTTTGTTAATATTTCTTAGTTTGTGCTGATTAAGTGTACTGTTTGTTGTGTTCATTGAGAATTGGTCTAATGGTACAAAGTGGTTTGTGTTTGGTTTTGAAGGTACTGGCGCTAAAACATCATACCTCAAAACTATCAGATTTTCCTGATCTTCAGTCATTAGCGACTTTTGGATTTAGAGGGGAGGCATTGAGTTCACTTTGTGCTTTAGGGGATTTGACGGTTGAAACAAGAACAAAGAATGAGCAAGTGGCGACACACTTGACTTTTGATCGTACGGGCCTTCTGATTGCTGAAAGGAACACAGCTCGCCAAGTTGGTACCACTGTCACTGTTAAGAAGTTGTTCTCCACTTTACCAGTGCGAAGTAAAGAGTTTCACCGCAACATCCGAAAGGAATATGGAAAGCTTATTACATTGCTGAATGTATGATGCCTTTAATCTGCATTATCTAATATCTACTTGCCTTTGGCTACTAATTTCTTAGGAAGAATTTAATTGTAATTCAACTAAATAATTGAAGATCAAAATTTCAACTGGTGCCTTCAAAACTGTAGGACAGTTCGTGGTGGTATAACGATTCAGTTCAAGTTGGTTCAGACTTAAAGCTCGAAACTTTTATGTGTTACAGTAGCAATCCTGTCTTTGACTTTTTGGAGGACATTGATTTTTAAACTTAGTAATATGTTGGACATACTTATTTCAACCAAAAAAGGAAAAAAAAAAAGAGTTAAAAGAAGAGAATTTCTTCACTATATCGAAAATATATTATTAATCATTTTATTTGTGGTATCTCGATAATGAATAATTATCTAACTGACACTGTATTGTAGATGAGTTTGTATATTAGCAGTTGTGCTGTGTTTGTGTTGTAGTGTTTTTTGGATATTCTTTATATGTCTGCTAATTCTTTTTATATTCCTCTTCTTTTTTTCGATCGGAAAAGCTTATAGTAAGTTGGAAATACCTGACTGAATTTGAGTCCCTTTATAAACTCAATTTCTAAGAGGGATGCAACTGTGCAAAATAGAGATCTTCCTTGGAAAATGAGGTTCCTGTCTATATAGAAGATTGGGTGCAATTTGTAGAGAACCATATTTTGTGTAAGTTCTCTACTTTTTTGGTATACGTCTTGTATAAGGGAGATTTTCCCACTTTAATGAAATTGATTTGCTTCATCAAAAAAACCTTTGCTTCTGGCAATTCTAAGTCGCATTGTGCTATAACTTTGGTGACCAAATCATCCATTTTAGCCTTATATAATTTTTTCTTGTCAATATTTTTAATCTTAATAAGAGATTATAGGCATGGTATCCTGTTGAAGAAGTAATTTTATGCTTTAGTTGTTTAAGTTATTTACTAATTTTTTTGTCTTTATTGCACTCCTAGGCCTATGCTCTTATTTCTAAGGGAGTCAGAATAGTTTGCACCAACACAGCTGTAAGAAATGCAAAGTCTGTAGTTCTGAAGACTCAGGGAAGTGGATCCCTGAAAGATAACATCATAACAGTATTTGGTATGAGTACCTTTACTTGTCTGGAGCCTCTCAAAGTATGTACTTCTGATGGTTGCACAGTTGAAGGATTCATTTCTAAGCCTGGTTATGGTAGTGGACGCAATATAGGAGATCGACAATACTTTTTTGTGAATGGACGGCCAGTAGATATGCCAAAAATTGGCAAGCTTGTTAATGAGTTGTACAGAGGTGCAAACTCTCGACAATATCCCATTGCAATCATGGACTTCACGATCCCACCCAGAGCATTTGATGTCAACGTAACTCCTGATAAAAGAAAAATATTTCTATCCGATGAAGGCTCCATATTGCATTCTTTGAGAGAAGCTTTAGAGAAGATATACTCATCTAATCATGCTAGTTATGCTGTTAATAGTTTCCAAGAGGTTTTTGAAGAAAAACATACATCCACTCATTCCCAACTTGAGGCCTTTCAGTTTCAATCCAAGCAATTATTGTCAGATAGCGATGATACTCAGGAAGGTGACTGCATTGGGGAGCTACGTAAAGATGGTCACTATCTCAAAAAACCTCTAAAGGAATTAAAAGATACTTCTGTCACGGCGATGTTAAATGATGGAAACAGGTCAACAGAGAAAGACTTCAGTCTTCGATTCCATGGAAAGAAGAAAGATAATCGCAGTTCCAGAAGTCCCTGGAAGGAAGTCGGAGGTCTGATTACTGCTGATAGACAAGCACTCAGCTCAGGATCAAAAGATAAAAGCTGTATCGATAATGCACATTATGTGGATCGTGCAACCATTGTCCAGTCATCACTCACCAAATTTGTTACAGTAAATAAGAGAAAGCACGAGAGTATGAGTACTGCGTTATCTGAGGTACCTCTCCTGAGAAATAGATTGACTGTATGTCCTTCAGGAGAAGACAATTCTTTGAAGGATACGACATCCTTAAAATCTCCAGATAATCCAGTTAAGGCTGATAACTGTGATGAAGTAACCTGTGATAAGTCTGGATCTTCCAAGTTCACAAAGATAGATAGATTTCTTCATCAAATGAAGCAGTCAAGAACGGACACAGTCCTTGATCAAACAAATAATTTTTCTCGACCTGGAAATAGTATACAAAATGGAAAATTTGAGGAGGTAAGAGAAAACTAGTAGATATTTCCTTTCTGAATGGTTTTAAGTATCCTTGCTTTGTTGGATTAGAATGATAGATGCAACAGGAGACAATTTCAATTCATTCTCTATGCTATTTTTGTTAGTCCTTTTAGTTTTGAACCATTTCATTTTCAGGAGCATGAGGTTCAAATGAACGAATTATGTGTGACTGAATCAGTGCTTGTTAATTCTACTTGCAACAACATTCACGATGTGTCAGAAAATATGGTAGATGCTGTTTCTTTTGAACAGCCTGCTAGTCTGACTTTGGATGCTCCTAAGGCTTCATCTGATTTAAAGATTGGTTCGACATTGCAATTTAGTGTGAACGACCTCATATCAAGAAGGAAGCAGAGACTGTCAAGAATGCAACTCCTTAATCGTACATCTCAAAGAATGAAAACAAAAAGGTACTATATAGTAATTTCCTTTGGCTTGGGAAAAGAGCTCTTGGTCTTTCAATTAGTTAAAAGAAGTTCTTTAATGGCTTCAGTAGGGATTATGCTGCAGCAACCCTGGAGCTCACTGAATCAGAAAATGAAGAGGCCAAGGAAAAGGCTTTGATCGCTGCTACCAGTGAGCTGGAGAGACTTTTCAAGAAAGAAGATTTTACTAAAATGAAGGTCCAAGACTCATCCATTTATTAGTATTCAAAAGCAAACATGTATTATCATTTTAATCTGCCAATGAGTTTGTTTCCTGTTCTGGCTGGAAGGTAATATTGTTTTAGGATCTCCGTGAGCATTCTTTTCTTTCATCCACACCCCTACCTTATTAGACCCCACCTCTAATAAAAAAAATTGCAGTTTTCTGATTTTTGTTTCATCTGAATGTTTCAGTTAAATATTCCGTAGTTGGTTTGATTGAGGATATTGTGGTACTGGGGTGTTCTCACGCTGCATTATCTTTTTCCAGTCAATAGCACTTATAAACGCCCATTGAAATTCTTAGCATTCCTTGGTCCCAAATTGAATATGTCCACCTCTTTCTTCTGTGTCGTAAATAATATCACCTACTTCTTTAAAGGTGTCAGTTCAAATTTTTTTCTTTTTGTCATTGTTCGGATAAGGTACAGTTTAATTGTACCTTATAAACCCACTTCTTCACTCCGTAATGCAACTCTGAAGTGCAGTCTGAACATGTTCCCTCACTTAACGCTATATAATACTCATATTCAGCTATTCTTTGGAAAATCAATCCAATCCAAGGCATGACAGGAGTCACTATTTGCATTTTGTTTTTAACTGCAGAATTTGTCTGATCTCTTTTTCCTCTCTTTACACTATGAAACCTTCAGCGTTCTGGCTTAAATTATTGTAACAGATTTGTTAGTCCATAATAAGTGATTTTTGTCGTCCTGTCTATGCTGATATAAACCTACTCTTTTGAACTTCTGAGTATTTGCGGAGCTGCTTTTGTGGTATATATCTGTAAAATGTGAGTTTTATTGCATGCTATTTGGTTGTCATACTTCCAACGCTAAATTTGGTCAATCACTAGTTTATTTACATGCAATTGGCAATCATTCCATCTCCGTGTTTACTTTTGTCATTAGTAGTTTCAGCAGAAATGCAGAGTTTTAGTATCAGCACTTGAAAATTCTCAACTTCAAATTTTGGTTATGCAGGTGATTGGGCAATTCAATCTTGGATTCATTATAGGCAGGTTGGATGAGGACCTTTTTATTGTTGATCAGGTATTATTCCATTGCTTTTGTATACTGACCTCTCTGTAGGTAAATTCGTCTATCATTTGATTTTGGTTTTTGAAGGTTGCTTATGTGATTTGAATTGGATGATCTCTCTCTCTCTCTTCTCATTTTTCTTTGATTGGTCAGCATGCCGCAGACGAGAAGTATAATTTTGAGCGTCTGTCACAGTCAACTATCTTGAATCAACAACCTTTGCTTCGGTGAGATTCTTCATTCTCTAGCTATGTGTTTTGTGTAAGATTGTTTTTAAGTTCATAATGGATCAAGATAGATGCAATCCCTCCAACACAATAGTAGCTGGAAAGTAATGTGTTTTATTAAGCTAAATATATACTGATGTTACTTTACTCGACCAAAAGAATAAAGGGATTACCTTCTCTTTTTCCTTCTCAATAAGTCATTTTGCACAGTAAAAAGAGCAGCATAAATTTTAAAAGCAGGGATTGGGAGAAGACTTTATTTTTGTGCCTTGTGTTTGGTTTCTTTAATGGGTTCGAATGGATTTGAGCTATTTTTACTCGAAGCGACTAAATAAGTTTACATGTCAAATCATATCTTGATGCTTCAATCTTAAAGTAGTAACTTGTTATCTGGTTTGAGTTGTTGCAGCATTTGGTGAATGGTTTTGTGATTATCTCTGCTTTTATCTTTCACCCGTAATGTGGGAAGTCATCAGATGTTAAAACTCGGAACAACTAATAGATTTATCAAAATATTCTCTTCTTGGTGTCAAACTGCTAGACAATCTGCAAAGTAAGATCAGTAGGCCCGTTTGGTTGATGTATGTCGTAAGTTTGCTCATGCAGATGCTAGGTCAAATTATACTCCTTGTATTTCAACTTTTTCCATATTTCATGCTAAAAATGATAAATTAGCATTTATGTTGGCCTCTCAAAAATTGAGTACATATCCCTCAATTACATTTACATTCTCCGGCCTGAAAATTTTGGATATTTCTCGCAAATATGCCCCCCTCCCCCAAAGAAGGGAGTCCCAAGACTCTGTATATATTATGAAGGTATGACCCTTGGAACTAACTCAACCCAAAAGCTAACTCGTGAGGAGAGGATTGCCGAAGACTATATAAGGAGACCACAACCCATTCCTTCAACCATTGTGAGACTTAACACTCCCCCACACGCTCAGGACTCCACTACAGTGTGAATTACGGGGCCCAACATTGAGAAACACAACAACATGGACCGATGGGTCTAGCTCTGATACCATGTGATAATATGGCCCTTGGGCTAACTCATGAGAGAAGGATTGCCCAAGACCATATAAGGAGACCATAACCCATTCCCTCAACCAATGTGGGACGTAACAGTACTGTACTGCTGCAAGTTCTTGATGTGACATGCTACTCCATTGACATGTTGATCTATTGAGAGTCATGCAATCTGTTTGGAATATTGCAGGTGAAATTACATGTTTATAAGTTATTTATGCATGATGACTAGTTGCTCTGATTGCTGAACCTTTATTGTTCTCCCATATATCATCTGTTTTGTCCTGGCAGCAGGGATGAGTTATGGGTTGTAATTAATATCAGTTATCTATGAAGGTGTGATGCTATATTCCATAGTAGAATTGTTGTGGATTGGAGCTGCTATAAGTTGTAATATTTCTTTTCTGTTATTTCTTTTCTGCACTCCTCGAGAACTTTTCATTCCTGGCTTCAAATGTGATTCTTTCTTTCTGGAATCTAGGCCCTTGAAGATGGAGTTATCTCCTGAAGAAGAAATAGTTATTTCCATCCACAATGATACTTTCAGGTGATTGAGATCCTTATTGCTCTTGTTTATTGTGAATTCTTATTGGCATTTCTTTTTATCATTTGGTTGTGTTTCTGCCCGAACGATCTGCAGTATGGTTATGTTCAACTTCTGAGGTTAAGATGACATGATTTCAACCTTTGCATGCTATCCTCAACTTTAGCAACCTGTTTGAAAAGTCAAAAGCATGACTGCACTGATGCTTAAGCCAATCAGTCCGTTGTCAGGGATAAGCAGTCCTTTGCTTTTTTAACTTAAATCAGAATAAATAAATAAATGTCACTTGTTGTTATCTCTTTTACCTAATGTTAAATAGTTATGTGTAAATAATCTTATATGTAGTAGGAGTAGAACATGTATTATATATAGGGGTCATTGTATCATTGTTAATATATCAAAAGAATTATTTTCTTGTGTATTATTTCTTACATGTATCAGAGCAGTGGTGGTGAGACACATCCGGGAACAAGAATACAACAAAAAGTCACTGTGCCTTGATTTTCCGGCAACTTTTCCCGGCTGTCTTGCGTCAACTCTCTCTCCGTCAGTGTTGTGCAAAATTCAACACTACCACAAGATCCGTCATCATCCGGCGACTAAACCCCAATCAACATCTCCGGCAGCAGTCTCACGTGCCCTCACGCACTGACATAAGCTAGGGTTCTGGCGAGCGCGTGAGTTCACGCGCCGGTGTGTACGACTCCTTCCGGCCATTTTTTGTAAAAGTTCCTTCGGAACAATTGCTTCATCTGCTAATTCCGACCCCACCCATACTATTTTCGTTTTATTCCGATCACTTTGAGTTTTTTCCGGCGACCACACCGATTTTTCTTGCAGCTACATTGTTCCTTCGCCCATTTCAGTAAGTTACAATTAATTCATTCTGTTATTTTGGTGATAATTTGCTAGAACTCACTTCAATCCTATAATGTCTCTCAATTCAGATTTCTTTTCTGACAGTGTTCCTCCGCCCGTTTCATCAAGTTACAGTTTTCTTTTGACATTTCCTTTCCTGTGAGTGTTGTAAATCAGTTTATGGATTCTCCATGTGATAGTCATTGGGATGCAATCGTCCGCATTCTTCAGTATGTAAAGTCAGCTCCAGGCAAAGGGTTATTATTTGAGGATCGAGGCCATGAGCAGATTCTTGGGTACTCAGATGCTGATTGGACGTAGTGTATAAATACATTTGCTTAGGGATGTAAGAGATACACAAAAATACAAGAAGCTTTTTCTTCTTTTCAAAATCTACAGTTTGCCACATCAAACTCTTTTCTTCATTTGGTTCGTCTAATGTTTTGATTATCTTTTGCTCCCATTCTTTGCACCCTAACGCATGTTATATTTTTCTCCCATTCTTTGCACCCTAACGCATATTTCTCCTGGCAAAAAATATGAGAGAAAAAAAGAAGGAAAATCTAGTTCAGGTGCGGAAAATGTTGGTAGAGGCAAGGGTAGGAGGGCTTTGGTTGTTTCTTAATGAAGTTAACAATTATATGTGGGAATGTTAGGGGCATGAATGATAAAAAGAAAAGAAGCTTGGTAGATTTGCTTTTAAGGAATTGGAATGTTGACATTGTTTGTCTTTATGAAGCAAAGATAAGTGGTCTAACTCAGGAAGATATTAAACAAGTTGGGTGGTCTAGGTGGAGTGAGTGGGTTGAATTGGAGGCTCAAGGAAATAGTGGGGGAATTGTCGTGTATTGGACAAAAGGAAATGGAAATGCAAGGAGAAATATGTGGGACAACATTCTGTTACTACGTTTATGGAAGAGGAAAATACTGGCTTTCAAGGCACATTCATAGGGGTATATGCACCTTGTGATCGGAAGATAAGGAGGAGTTTGTGGAAAGATATGGCTACAATCTGTGGCTTGATTTCACATCCATGATTTATTGGTGGAGATTTTAATGTGGTCAGTTTTGAAGCAGAAAAGAAAGAGAATGCAAGAAATACTCGAGCTGTGAGGGAATTTTTCAGATTCATTGATGATTTATCTTTATTGTATCCCCAACCTCATGGTGGCTTATACACTTGGTCTGGGGAGGGGGGAATAGTACATGTGCCTATATAATAGACAGGTTCCTGTTTACTGAAAGCTGGGATGAGCAATTTAAAATCTTAAAACAAAGAGTTTGCCCAGGGTTACTTCAGACCATTGTCCCATTTTGCTAAAATGTGGGGATCGGAGTAAGGGAAAGGATTATTTTAAATTCAGGGAAAGGATTATTTTAAATTCGAGGACATGTGGATTGAACATAAAGATTTCAGTGATTTAGTTGATAATTGGTGGAACTCATACAATGTACTTGGCAGGGCTGATGAAGTCCTGGCTAAAAAGCTGAAATTGTTGAAAGAAGACTTGAAAAAGTGGAATAGCGAGGCCTTTGGCAATCCGACAGAAAAGAAAATAGAAGTCTTGGATCAAAGAGCAATTTTGACTCAAAGTTTTGATCAAGTTGAGGCTGAAAGGTGTGTTATCCTAAGTGAGCCAGAAAATACTACCAAAGCAGATTAAATATCTTGGAGACAAAAGTCCAGATGTTTATGAATTGAGCATGGAGATAGAAATTCCAGTTACAAATGCGCGTAAAAGATACAACTGCATTGACAAGATTGTTATAGAATGACTGAAGATGATAAATTTATAAAGATTAAAGGAACATATTTTGGGATTTTAGAAAAGTTTTTGTTTAGAGAACCTGAAGCATGAAGGCAAAAATGGTTAGGAGGCGATCTAAGCAAGCTGACAAAGGAGGAGAAAGACTGGGTACAAAAACCTCTTACAATGGAAGAAGTGGGAACGGCTTATTTTAAGGGAGACAAAGCTCCAGGTCCAGATGGTTTTGATCCCATTCCTTTCAGAAATGTTGGACTACAGTAAAAAATGATGTATGGAACAATATAATTTTTTTCTCAAGAATGTAATTTCACTAAGAGCTTTAATGCTACATTTATTGCCTTAATACCAAAAAAGGAAGATGATGTGGACATAAAAGACAAAAGGCCAAAGGATTATTGCTAAATTGCTGGCAGAAAGGATCAAGGTGGTGATAAAAAATTTGATCTGTGACAATTAGAATGCTTTTATAAATGGGAGACAAATAGTTGATGCTTCTATGGTTGCCAATGAGTGTGAAGCATTTGATCAGAAATAAAAAGCAAGGAGTTCTCTGTAAATTAGACCTAGAAAAGACATATGATCATATTAATTGGGCATGTCTATTGAATATCATGAGGCAGATGAATTTTGATGAGAAATGATTAAAATGTGTTGAATATTGCATCTCTACCGTAATATTTTCAGTACTTATTAATGGAAGCCCTCAAGGTTTCTTCAATTCTTCTAGAGGGCTAAGGCGGAGGGACCCTTTGTCCCCATACTTATTTGTTCTGGTTATGGAGATTTTCAGTAAGATGCTTAAAGAAAGTTGAACAATTGGGGTAGATTAAATGCTTGAATATTGAAAGAAGGGGTGAGGCAAGTTGTGTCATCTCACATATTTTATATGCAGGTGATACCTTACTGATTTGTAAAGCTAAGGAAGAACAAGTCTCTTATCTCAGAGGGGTCCTACTAGTCTTTGAAGCAGTAACAGGTTTAAAGGTGAATTTGGCAAAGAGTAGTATGTTTAGCATTAATGCAGAACATTGTATAGATGATCTTGCAGAGTTAATGGGCTGTGAAGTGGAGCAGTTACCAACAACTTATTTAGGGCTTCCATTGGGTGCTGGGAAAAATGAACTGAGGATCTGGCCGTGGAGTAGTTGATAGATGTTGCAAAAAATTGACTCCATGGAAAAAGCAATACTTATTCCTTGGAGGCAGACTCACCTTGGTTAGTAGTGTATTGGATGGGATTCCAACTTATTTGATGTCTACCTTGGTTAGTAGTGTATTGGATGGGATTCCAACTTATTTGATGTCTACCTTGGTTAGTAGTGTATTGGATGGGATTCCAACTTATTTGATGTCTTTATGTCAGATACCTGTGAATGTGGAGAAGAAAGTGAATACTATGAGAAGCAATTTTATTTGGGAAGGTATGCAGAAAAAAAGGAAGTTACATCTGGTCAAATGGCAAAAGGTGATGACCGTTAAGAAAGGAGGTGGACTGGGAGTTAGAAACTTGAGATTCCATAATAAAAGCTTTGTCTATACTCCCATTGTTCCAAAAAGATTGGCACTATTTTCTTATTAGCCTGTTTCAAAAAGATTGGCACCTTTCAATATTTCCTTAATAGGAAGCATTAATAGCCACACAAATACTATGCCAGGTTTAAGACCACAAGTTTTAAAAGTTTTACAACCGCACAAATGCTGTGGCTTATTTAAGACCACATATTTCAAAAGTCTTCCCTTCTTTATTAAAGTTTGTGCCAAGTCAAACTAAAATAATTTTTTTGAAACGGGGGGAGTAAATGGTTATGGAGAAATAATAATGGAAAAGAGAGCATCTGGAAGAATCTTATAAATGCCAAGTATGAGAAGATGGAAGTATGGAGCCCTCCAGTTGTCATTATTTCCTCCGGAGCAGCATAAGTAAACTGTGGAATGAATTTCAGCAACATACTAAATTGAAGTTGGGGAATGGGGCAAAAATCAGATTCTGGTCTGAAGTGTGGGTGGGGGATGTGAGCTTGAAACGGGGGAGTAAATGGTTATGGAGAAATAATGATGGAAAAGAGAGCATCTGGAAGAATCTTATAAATACCAAGTATGAGAAGAAGGAAGTATGGAGCCCTCCAGTTGTCATTATTTCCTCCGGAGCAGCATAAGTAAACTGTGGAATGAATTTCAGCAACATACTAAATTGAAGTTGGGGAATGGGGCAAAAATCAGATTCTGGTCTGAAGTGTGGGTGGGGGATGTGAGCTTGAAAGACAGATTTGCGTCCTTATACAACTACTCCCTCACTAAAGAAGGAAGTGTGGCTGTGTATTATTCTTCCAATGGCTGATTCTAGAAGAGATTTTAATGATGGGGAGATGGAAGAAGTTTGTCAATTTTTTCAATTAATGGACACAGTTGTGATAGAGGAAAATAAGGACACCATGGTTCGGACAACAAGCGCAAATATGAAGTATTGTCAATAGTGGCTATAAACTTCTCCAGAAACAAGCAGACCATTACGTATCTAATTGGCCATGGAAAATGTTATGGAGTACAAAGGCACATGTTAAAGTAGCCTGCTTTGGGTGGTTAGTTATCAGAGAGGCCTGCTTAACTAAGACAATTTGCAGAAAAGAGGTTTCAATTTAAGCAATAGGTGCTATCTGTGTGAAGAAGGTTTGGAATCAGTCAACCATCTGTTTATTCATTGTAAAATTGCAAAGCAATGCTGGGAGCTATTCTTGAACCTTTGTGGAGTTACTTGGGTTATGCCTTCAAGCATTAGAAATCTATTGGCTAGCTGGCAAGTACAGAAGATAAGAAAGGAAATGAGGCAGATTGGAGAACTATCCATTATGCAATTTTGGACCATCTGGAGTGAGAGGAACTATGTTTGTTTTGAAGAAAAAAAAAAATCAGATTTCTAGAATCAAAAACTCGTCTGCATAACGTTTTTTTTGGTGTAAGAGGTGTCTATTAGAAAACATGAATCAGTATATGGAATTTTTGGATTGGCTAGGGAAGATGTAATTGGAGGTTTGTGTAGATGTTGTCTGGTCCTGTTATGTAATTTTCTGTACCATCTTGGTACTTTTATCAATAAAACTTTACCTTATCAAAAAAGGAAAAAAATGTCGATTGTCTTCACTCTTTCACCTAATTTTTCTATTACGAAGTTTACCTTGTTTCCATCGTGAAGCTGACTATTCGTGCCGACAAAGAGAGAGTATTACTGTTTCCTTTTTACCTATTTTCAGATATATCTAATTTGGTGAAGAAACTAAAAAGGAAAGAAAATGAAAACATTTCAAATGAGAATAAGAGTAAGAAAGTCTTTTAGGTTTAGTCAGATAGAAGTGCCAAAAATTAACAGTTGGAAGGTTCTTTTTCTACTTAATCAAATAGTGATCAACGAAGTAAAAAGATCTTGTAATATAGCAGCCAAAATGCAGTCCACAGAATCATCTTGACATCTGGCACTTCTCTGTTTGATAAACTACTAATCATATTAGCTTAAAAACTATTTGGTGCGATATGTCCTCTCTTAGAGTGATGACAATATCATTTCTATCTTTGGGCTCGCAGGAAAAATGGTTTTCTATTGGAAGAGGATCTGCATGCTCCTCCAGGGCATCGATTTAAGCTAAAAGCAGTTCCCTTCAGCAAAAATATAACGTTTGGAGTCGCAGGTTATCACTCAGATGCATTCCATACCTTCCATGAACTTGAAGGTCTGCAGGACATTGGTCAATGTCTCATCTTTGTGTTGCAACTTCACAAACGACCACACAAGTTGGCAATCCTTTAAGCAGAGGATAACTAAAGAGAGAACTTCATAATCTGGAATGCGCTTTGCATTACTGGACATATTTCCCTTTTGGTCATTCTATTGACAGTTGGGCCTGATGTAATCTACAGAATGTAAGGGGGGACAAGTCGTGTTAGCTCCTGCATCTGCTTTATTGCATTAAGAAACTTTGGCTCATCTTTTTGAAAAATACTTTATTGTCCTTGCAGATGTGAAAGAACTCATTTCCATTCTTGCCGATAGTCAGGAAGAATGTTCCATGATGGGTACTTATAAGGATGATACCGCCGATTCACTATGTCCTCCTAGAGTTCGTGCAATGTTGGCATCACGTGCCTGCAAATCATCTATTGTTATTGGAGATCCACTTGGGAGAAATGAGATGCAAAAGGTATTTTTGTCCATTTTACCGTGTTCTTGAAATTTATGATCATTTCATAGTATCTTTGGTATCATCCTCTCTGCTTTGCAGAAACAAGTAAAAGTATTCCCATTTATTTGCCTGTTAATTTGTGAATTTTGAGAATACATGGTCATCAGCTATGTCACAAAAATATTTCCTTCCATCCTTCACCCTTATATTGCTTAACCTCTATCAAATATCTTTTAGAAGGGGAAAAGGGTAAAAAGAATTTTGGCCAAACACTTTTTCTAGTTTCGAAGTGTTTGTTTGATAGTTTATGCCCAAAAAAGCTAGGAGTATATTTTTTCTCAACATATCATATTTCTGAAAAGCTGCTTGAGTTTTTGGCGAAAAAATCTTCTTCTTCCCTCTGGTTTGCTTCATGACCCGAGATATAAAATTCATTGTTTCAGATACTTGACAATCTATCACGACTCAGGTCTCCGTGGAATTGTCCACATGGTAGACCAACAATGCGTCACTTGGTTGATCTGAGGACTGTACATAGAAGAATAGAAGCGGATGAGTATGAGACCACTTTATAAACTCCTCAAGTGGGTACTTCTTTCTGTAAGTTATTAAGACTGCATTTTGCCTACAACTATCATATGTTAATTGAGAACGCAGAAAGAGGTCTTTTGCTTAACATCTACTACTTCCTTTTTCGTTTTTGTTTAAAGAATCTTTATTACATTACTTACCTTTCTTGCAAACACTTTATCTTGTTCTTTCTTTATTTGTTCGATTTTCTCCATTTCCACACTGATTTGAGTGGAGCGTCCTTGAAATGCGCAAGTATGGAAAGCTGAAATACTGAAAGAGTGTATTGTGTCAACAGTCAGATGAAGAGTCAATGAACCAAAGCCTCGATCTTAAATTAATTAAAATCAGCTATGCAAAATTTTCACTTTATTAATACATACTCAGAAGATTCATAATAGATCGATTATCTTCACATTTACTGTCAACCTATAAATGATCGGATTCAGAATAGGATCAAATATACTTGACATGGGTTCATAGGCAGAGTTAACAATCAAAAATTCAGAAATGGGACAATTACTGGTTTCCATCAGGATAATCCAAAGATGTATTACACTTGCTCTGGTGCGCCCTCACAATCTTTTCGAGCTCAAGCACCTTCCCAAAATAATTAAAAAAAGGAACAAACCAAGAAAGACCGCATTTTGCAAAATGAAGCAAGCCTACATTGATATAATTATGAGACATAATATAGAAAAACTAATGTACAACATAATCTTCCATCCAAAGGAAAAATTGCTAATACGGAGAATGTCTGCTCTTTCTGCGGGTCTTCTCTGATTTCAGAGCAAGAGTAGAGATCCATGATTGGCTATTATCGGAACCATCAGACAACCAGCAACATAGGCGGCCATCTTCACCACCTGTCCATCCAAAGATACCGTGGTTATCCATGGTCTCACCTGGCACGCCAGACAAGACGCTCCTAATAATGCCTTCATGTCCACCACTCAAAACTGCTTCTGGAGGACCAATGGCTCGCGTTTCTTTATAACTTACAGGGAAATAGCCCAAGGAACCACCATTCGTCCCGCCAATCACCCAGAAACGGTTTTCCTCCACTGAATAGTGGCAATCAACAAAATAATCAACCTGCCATCAGAATTTAAGCCAGAATAATCAATTTATGCTCCATTTAAACTCGGAATTATTGCCTTCAATACCAGAGCACTTTATATATTTTTCCAACTTCTCCGATATCTTATATCCTTTTATTTCTTTTTTCTAAAACTAACATGTGCAGAACATTGCAGTTGCCAAGTATCGAGGATAGATCACTGCCAACAGCAAACTAGGATAAGTTTGTCTTCTTTTTGAACAACATACATGTATCAGATTTTTAACAAGAATAGAGAAATGAATAAGTGTACAAGTCACATACATGGTCTGTGATCCAGCTCTTAGAGGCTAAAGCTCTAGCATCCTCAAAACTGGCTTCAATTCTTTCATCTTTCCAGTCCCAGAAACTGCACAGAAAAAGAAATAAAAACAAAACAATGAGGGTGAGAATGTCAGATTTTTCCTCCAAAGAGTAAAAACGGCTAGATCATCGTCAGAGATATCTACAACCAGGAGAGATGCACAATAACATGCAAAAGACACCAACTATGTCAAGGGACCAAAAGTTTAGCATAAAAGACAACAGGCAAGGAGCCAAATGAAGCATATTAGGATAATATGGAAACTATAATACCTTAAAGTTTCAATATGTGTTAAACACCAAAGCTTCTGATTCTTCTCCCCAAGAAATCCCACTTTTCCAATAGAGGTTCCCACATTGAGTACCTGTAATTGCATCTTGTGTATAAGTAGCAGACAGTGATAAAAAAGGAACTGAAATCTACTTAAAAGAAGATAGAAACATGAAAACACTGGCAGAGCTTATGAATCAACAAAACTACAATATCCCAGGTTTTGCTTCAAAGTTAGCTAAATGTCTACACTGTACTGACATTAAACTAGCAATTTCAAAAGTGAAGAATAAATAAAATCAATAGCATCATGAGAAGAAGACAATGTGTCATTATCCTGAGCGTGGATGGAGGTCGAGTTCTCATAACAAGAGATGCCTGAAAATTTTATACCTAGAATATACAGTAACTACTTATTTTCCTTTTGAGTACTAGTTAACCAAGCTCATGAAAGTTTTCAATAGCAATCTGGCATATCTCTATAGAGACAAAAGCATGGATTTCAGAAAAAACTTCATAATATGGCAAGACATAAGACATACTATTGATTTACAGCTAGTGTAGACTTTTCCACCTAAAGTTTTCAGGGACTGCACCATCTCAAAGTAGTTGCAGTTACAATTATTAAATTTTTGATGAGGTACTTATAATTATTAAATTAAATAAACAAGGAGAAAATATAAAGGACTGCAAAAAGTTAATTTTTAACATACCGATACCAAGTGATCATCATCGTTGATATCTCCACCAGTATCAAATAGACACATCAATCCATCAACAGATGCCGAAATGAGTCTATCATCATAGCCTGGAATGAAGTGCACCTAAAAGTGACCACAAGCAACAAAATAGACTTCAAGATACAAAAAAAAGAAAAGATAAAAGACTCCAAAAGATCATGCATTTAGTATAATCAGAAGCATAAATAACTCTGCATCCCAGCTAGGTCAGTCATTAATTTTCTCTGCTCTCTGTCTTAGATAGTTAGGGGAACATGCAACGAATGTCACAATCATATCTGCCTATTGTGGAGCAGTGCAACTTCCAAATCAGTCAACATTTCAATGATATTATCAAACATACTAACTTCAAAAACATGCTAATGACTTACAGTAAGACAAATACCTAGTATAGCTATATCTTATCTTTCTTGTGATGCAATTAGAATACAAAGGAAATTTCAGATTATTCAGCTCTAAGAAATACAATTTGCAATGCTGTACTAACATGGGTGTGAATTGTTCTAGCTCTGATGAGAAACTATCATTAACTTATAGAACATTAATTGTAAGAAGATCAAAATATACTCCACTGCCTACTGACCAAATGTGCAGCGGGAAATGAGTCAATAAACTAGTATAGTAACACACCTGCGTAACATCTTCCGTATGAGAATCCTCCAAGCAAGCAACCTGGCGCTTGGTTCTCCATTCCCAGAAGTGTAGCTGTACAAAAATAACCACAATCCAATGTCAATTGCCACAGATCTCATACTAATGAATAGAGCTGAGTATCCATGTGCCTCAGTCAAAAGAATAAGCCAAATCACATCTCTCATATAATAAAAAGATCTTTGGAATTATTTCTGGCAAAGAAGAATTATTTTTGTAGCTTCAAACAATTTGAATTCCTCGTTTGGAGGCTGAAGCAAGCAGTCAATAGCTTATGACGGACCAAACTAAATAATTTGAATCACATATATAGTTAAAATAGTTTTTTTCTTAATTACATAGATACACAAACACTAATATTTTGCAGTGGTTCTTTGCACCCACTAACTTAAAATTCTACTAAAATAAACCACTGCTAATTTCGGATAGAAGGCGTAGTACCTGAGAATTACAGCCAGCAGCAAGCAGATTGTGATTGGCTCCACCGAAGGAGAAACTAAATATCTCTTGAGAAGAGCCACCACTTACTGAAAACACCTGCATTCCATCTATTTGATATCAAAAATAAAATAACAAAAAAGTGTGAAAGTACACATTACAAATGCATATAAATAGTTTTAAAAAAAAAGTGGAACCTGCTGAAAAGACCTAGTATCCCAAGCTCTGAGAGTACCATCGGAAGAGCAAGAGTGTAGTACATGTGGCGATGAAGGACCTGAAAAGGCAATTTGATTAATGGTCGAGGAATGACCATTACATTCCCCAATGTACTGTCCTGTTACGGCTGAGTACAATTTAATTGCATTAGTTGAGAGTGATACCGCCATTGATGTCCAGTCATTCCTGTTCAGTGAGAATTTTATTTTATGATGGGAAACAAAAATTAATACTACTACTACATAATAAGAAGGGAGAAGGTGCAAGGAAAATAATACTTGGGAACGATTTGGAAAACGTAATCGTCGCCGAAGTTAGTCTGAATAGAGTTTTTGATACCAAAACGCTTAGAAGAAGTGTTGGGAATAGGGAGAGAGAGCGATTGTTGTTCTATGTCCATCTCTTCTGCGCCATCCATTTTCTTTGTTGCTCCTACTCTACTTCTCTTTCTCTGTGTAACAGCGAAGAACCAAAGCTCCGGCTCGGACACAAGGGTTTAGGGTTGGACTTTTTTTTTCTTCTTAAGTTAGATTTAGATTTTAGGGTTGGACTGAATAAGCTCCAATATTAGCAAGTGTTTGACGGTTATACAAAAAACAAAATTGACCAACTTGTAGAGTATAATGTAATCACGAGTAGTGTGGTGAGATATCATATAGATAAAGAAAATTATCACAATCAAAACAACGGAAATGGAGATCACAGAATAGTGCACACATAAGTTTCGGATAGTTGTACCAAAGAAAAAGAGAGAACCAATAATAGCACTGAACGATAAGCCTAACGAATTTGTTGTTAATTGCTAACAGAGAAGAGAGGACCGAGTAGATGGCTTCCTCGCTCGGCTGATTATTTCATTCAATTGTACCTTAAATTCAAATCAGTTGATAAAACTTCTTCTCATAATTACATTTGTGACCTTCCTCCTCCTCTACGTGAACTTGAGACTATTCTTTTGCATAAATTAATTAATGGTTGTAAACATTATTTAATTATTTAAGCAGGAAAAATCCATCAAAAGGTACACGTACCCTCTTTCTTGTTAAAATCATTTCCAAACTACTAGTAACAACAGGGATGAAAACCCCTCAACCTGGTATCAAGCAAATCGAAACTATATTCTTAACTACCACACATTAAAGCAGTAGCACGAAAAAGAGAGATGGCACTTCAGAAAGATACAGAGATTTGATCCAAGTCATTCAAAAACACCATTTTCAGTCGAACTTAAACAATATTACAAAAACCCAAATTATAGAGCATAGAGGTATGTTTTCCAGCTCAGGTGGATGAAAATGATAATGTCCCTCATAGCTAACTCCCAAGTTCAACAAGCTTCTCTACTTTCATGAACTGAAAGGGACTACTAATAACCATGCCACTCTAGTGCATTGCTGAAAGCAAAGCCAACAAT